ACTTGACCGGTGACTTGACCTGTGACTGCTTCTGCGGCAGGGATGTGGCCCACCAAGGCTGTGCAAAATGAGATCACCATATCGAAGTTGGTGTTTGGACTTCCTCTGAATGCCGTCCTAATTCTGGAAACACATTTCTCTCCTGATTTTACTCGAGTTCTGTCTTCTTTTGAACCAACCAAACGCTCCCTTCAGCCTTGAGTGAAAATGAAACACTAAAAAATGTTAGGAGCGCTTCTTAAGCAATTACAGATTAATTCATTTCTTGATCAATATTTGTGCTCAAATTTGATAGGGGGTTCAACTCTAGAATTATGTTCTAGAACATCTATGTCAGTCCCATTGTCTCTGACCTGTGCACACTGGCCATCAATGCTTTGGAAGAAGGACATACTGGACAATTTTCAAGAACGCCCAGGGGTCCTTAGTAACAGCAGCTGATAGGGACTATGTCCACAAAGCCTGCAGGCGCTTAGCAGTCCTCAGTCTTGAATTCCCCCAAGTTCTAATATCCTTTTAGAGCACACTGAGGGGTGGAAATCAGACAAGGGCTATCTGAGATTGTCTGGGGCATGGTGAATCACTCAGGACCCCATCATCAAGGACTAGCAGGAACAGTAGCTAATGAGATTATTGGTGGGAACAAGACCTGTGACCCAGTCTTTCTAGGTCTTCTGAGGCTACTCACCTGGAATATAGGAGTTCACAGGGGAGCCTGGAGAAGTCGGTCATTCTTCAGTGTGCCGGGCTAAGGAATCTGGACTTGACATTTAGGTTTCCTCAGGCACCAAAGAGTATCTGGGAAGACCAGCTGGGAATCACTCTGGCTCTGAAGTGCTAGAACTATATGCATTAGAGAAGAAGCAAGTGGGAGGAAAGGGATGAGAAAAGAGGATCGCTGGAGGTGATGGGAGGCAGCATGGGCGCTAGAGGGAAGGAGCTGACCTGGAGTCCATGCCAAGGGTAAATGGATCAGGGGGAGACAGATGAAAGGCACATCTAAGCCATGGAAGGTTCTGGATATAAGTAAGCATTACATGAGATGTCTGGAATATGGTTCCTCTCTGGCTGACGGGCCTTTATCTGTGTTCTGAGAACAGCTTGTATGAGGGGGATGGCACATGAGAAGGAATGAGGGAGGAATTCTTACGGGAACTTTCAAAAGTCCGGCTGATTCCCTTCTAGAGCTGATCACAGCTATCAAGCTGTTGGCGTTTGCTAGGAGAATTTTAACACCAACCATACATGGAGTGCCACACCCCCCGGGTGGACTGGGATCACATCCTCCCCTTATGGTGCTTTCCTGTTGTGATTTTCCCAAACTGAAGTCTTCAAGTATTCGTCGCCTGTCAGGTCACCCTTTCTGTCAGTCCCCTAACCCAGGCCCCTGCACACACTTTCCCCTCAGGCATCAGTCATGAAGGCTCTTCTGTGTGGGCAGCCTCTTGTCTCCTCTCAGCTCTCAGGTGCCCTGCCTCCAGGCCTCACTCGGCACCAGACCATTTCTTTTTTCTTTCAGTAGTCCCCCTAGCTCTCGCACCGCCACATCATCCGTGGACCATCACTGTGTTTTCCTCTCCTGTCTCGCCCCCCTCACTCTCCTTCCTTTGCTGTGGACCTCAGCTCTGTGGTCAGTTCGCTAGTTTTGTCTTTTTCTTGATTGTTTTTTTTTTCCTTTCTCTATATTCCACATATCAGTGAGACCGTCCGGTATTTATCTTCTTCCTTCTGACTCCATGGGCTAGTGTACCCTTCCAGCTCCATCCTTGTTACCACAGATGGCGAGAGTTTGTCTTTCTTGATCCCTGAGTAACATTTCATCGCGTGCCACTGCACTGGAGCATTTATGAAGAGCATCCCTGGGAAGAGCCCAGCAGGAGTGGACCTGCCTCAGCTGTGTCAGTCTTTGGTCTCAGCTGTCCTGAGCCTCCCTGCTCTGTCCTCTGACTTCTTCTGGGTCTTCTCTCTCACCAGCTGGCCTGTGACCTCCAAGTGTGTCCCCCACCTGTTTACAATGACTTCTTGCCTCAGTTCATTGGAACTGAGGCCTCGGACATGGGCCTCTCGACCTGTTTTTCCGGACATTTCTGTACATTGGTATCCTCCTCTTTGCATGAGCAAGTGAAGGCAGCCCGCTTTATTCTATCTCTTGGTCTCACCCTTCCCAGCCTGCTTTGCGGGAGGCTGCGCCTCCCATGCTGTCTCTTGACATCGTCCGGGCATTAGGAGAGACTCCGAGAAGCAGAGTGCCTGTGTTCCCCTGAAGAGGGATAGTTGTACTTCCCAAAAGAGGGGAGTCCTTGCACCTCCCAAAGACGATCTGAACTAGGGAGTCTCCATGGCAAAGCCTGCTAAAGGTCTCCTCTTTGTTCCTGGTTAATGCTGAAGTAAGTTAGTTATTCATTGGCCTGTGAAAACCTAATTGGGACCCAGGTGACAATTGGCTTATTGTTCTTACGCATGAACTGTCACAAAAGAGGTAAAAATTGTTAAAGATATAGTTAGGAAAGACAGGTTTTGGCCCTGAGAACTATGGAGAACAAGCTGCCTTGAACCAGCTGTGCTTGGAAACCATAGCCTAACCTCGGGGGTACCTGTTTGTGGCAACAGTACATCTCCTTGTGTATGCGAAAAGTGAACAGTGTGCAGCTTGTGTGGAGGTTCGGTATTTCTAGTTGAAGGTTAGATTTCTGTAGAACTAAACAGTATTGATGAGTTACTTTTGATCACTTTGAAGTAATTGATAATGGGCTGGAGGATTTGAGTACTAGGGAATGGGTTGATTTTAGTCATAGAGCATAACAATGGACTTTCATGTCCACTCGGAAATTAGGAAGGCTTCACAGGGTGATTGATTGTTACTGAACATTGTACTGTCTTAGACAATGGATTACGTTAGAAAAAGAGCTGTACCTAGGGGAGTCATTGTCCCTGTAGATTTTCTTAATCAGATTAAGGAAGTGTCCTTTTGTAGTATGAGATCAAGAGGGTCTTTGTATGTTCATGAGGAAATATGTAATGATGGTCTCTGTTCTGCTTTGATGCTTATGCTGATGTCATCTCACCACTGGCCTTAAGGTATAAAAGAAGACCTGCTGAGACCCTCAGGAGGAGATACTTGCAGGAGAGAAGGTGTCTGTGTCTTCCTCACTCCTACCTGGCTCCACTTGCCCTCAGCCCTCAGAAAAACTTCACCAAGGCCGTCCTCTCCTGCTGAGATCCCTGACAGGACATCTAGCTGGAGCTGGTCTCCAGCCTGCTCAGATTCCCCACCTTGAACACTCCCTGTTCACTGAACTCCGCCCTTTATCCTTCCATCAGACAGGAGCATGGAATCAGGAAGAGGTAAAATGCATCTTGATTTTCCCTAATTCTAACGGAAATTTAGCATTTTATTTAATGGTGGCATCAAATTACAGTTGTAGTACAGTGTCATTGATTGTCCTGCCAACAGAACCACATGTATTTTCAGCTCTCATGATTGGATTTGCTGATGCAGTCGACCCTTAAGCAACAGGCGGTTGGGGCGCTGATCTCGGGTGGTGGAAAATCCATGTATGACTTTTTTTTTTCCTATAGAGGCATGTTTTATTTATTTATTTCTTTGTTTGTTTGTTTATACATGCACTGGATACACTCAGAAGCACGGGAGGGGTGAGAGAATTCACCAGAGCCAGAGCGGCGAGCAGAACAAGCAGACTGACGAAGTACACTGCTGAGGGGAGCAGCGGGCGGCAGGAGAGGTCTGTGTGCCATGTGGGACCCTCCTTTGGTGGCCTGGGAGCAGCCGGGTATCAAATCGGTGCTGCAGCTCAACTGCTCTACCACCAGGGAGGCCCTCCATGTTGACTTTTGAGCCCCCAGAAATTTTATAGTCATCCCTTGGTAGCTGGGGGAATTGGATTTAGGAATGACACCCCCACACCCCCAGCAGATAGCAGAAGTCCACAGATGCTTAAGTTCCATATAGTTGGCCTGGAGAGTCCTCAACACAGAGTCATCCTGCTGACATCTGTTCACTAGACCGAGTCCAGCACCACGAGCCAAAAATGCAACCAGGGCGCTGATGCCCTGTTGCTGGGCTCTGCCCCTTGTGGTTCCCGCCCTCTGTGTTTACTCAGTTCCAGCAGGGAATCAGCTCCTTGGTGGCTTTGTTCTGGTCACCGGGTGGCGCCAGAGACCTGCACTTGCTGACCTGTGCTTTTCCCCAGTGGTTTTCTGAGAAAAGGGCGGGGGGGGGGGGCCACCTCAACACATGGGCTGTCGTTCAAGCCAGGTGCTGTGTCTTCTGCGTGTTCACGGGCGCTGTGCCCGCAGCTGTGTGGGTCCCTCCCCCAATGTTGCGCTCTAGGCTTAGTTCCAGGCTGTCAGGTCCAAAACGCTGGCTGTCGCCCTGTGCAGTGCCCGCTGCTAGGGCGCGTTCTCACCCCGGGTCCTCTGCCTGGTTCTCAGCTCCAGGATGGGGTCTTGCTCCCCGCCTGGTTTCCCTTCTTACCCTGTAGGCGCGGCCCAGCCCCTCTCAGCACCTGAGGGTGGTTTGGGGATCCCTGGCTTCCCACCATCAGGAAGGTGGTGATTTTGTTCTGGGCACTAGGTGGCGCCAGAGATCTTCCCTAGTGTCCTTCCAGAACTGCCTTTTTTTTTTCCGTGGGTCTCCAGGAATAGAGTGGGGGTGATGGGGTTTTTGGAGCCTGAGATCCTGGGATTCACTCTGGGAAATGTTTCCCCAGACCGTGTTTCAGCAGCCCCCGGGAGTTCCCCAGGTCGCTCCTCCACGAGACGGAGACGTTAGTTGTGTTTACAGGGCAGGTTTCTCAGGGGAAGGGAAGGGGCAGGTTTGCTGAGCGAGGCCTGCGCGGTTGCAGGCGGCGGCCTTGAGGAGAGCGGCCTCCGCTGAGGGAGGTCCCTGGAGACGTCCTGGCAGGTACCGGCCACCCGCCAGGAGACTGCGGCCCGCAGAGGCGAGAGCTGGTGAGAAGAGGCTCCTGCGTGGTCCGGGGCGGGCAGGGGGGCGGCTGCCCCGGGCCTGTGCGGAGCCTGCCCTGCCACAGCCCCTTTCTCCTTGGGAGGCGCGCTCCTCCGGGAGCGGCTGCTTGCTGCGGATGTTGGGCAACAGGCAGCGCTAGAAAGGGACCAGAGATTCCGGGGTGGGCCCGTCTCCACATCCTTCCCCTCAGGCCTGTGCCCCACTCCCTAGAGCAGGGACCCTGCTCCCTTCCTGCCTCCTGACAAGGCGCTGGCGCCTGAGGGTGCGACCTGCACAGCTGGTTAAGGGTCCTGTGCATGTGCTTGACCCCCACCTCCTAGTGTGAGTCAGGTTTTGGCCTTGGGGCTCGTCCTTTCCAGTCTTTCCATTCTTGTCCTCCATCATCCCCCCCCCCAACCTTATCCAGCCCGAAATCTCTTGGGGAGTTGAAGGGAGGAGGTCCATTTTCAGGAGCTGCTCCCTGCTGGAGTGGCATGTAGAGCTGGCCCTGCCTCCAAGGGCCCGGGAGATGGTCTCCCTGACACTCGTCCCTGAGCTGCTTGTTGGTGGTGATACCGGAATTGTCAGGTCTAGTCTCCCAGCCAGGAATGGATTCCAGGCTGCAGGGCAGCGCTAAGCCCCAGCCACTAGACCCCCCACGGGTTGGTGTCTCAGGAAGCTGCAGCAGGAACTTCGCAGACGCTCAGGCAAGCAAGCGAGAAGAGGCAGGTTCTTTATAGAAAGAAAAAGTTTATTGAGGAGAAAAGGAGCAGAAATAAAGCTGGACTCCCAGGCCAGGGAACCAGGACAGGGAGGGGCAAGGAAGCCCATGTGGAGTCGTGTCTCAGGGAATATAGACCTTTTTTCCCTCATTATTCTAAAGCTTCACCCGTCTCTCTGTGATGGGTCAGTTCTCGGCTGTCTCACTTCATCTGCTACTGAGCGGGGATCTTCACATTCCTTACCTAACAGCTTTCTCTTTCCCCATTTGTTGCATCTTTAAATTTATGGCCCAGTCCTCTGGATGGGCTTCCCTGCATTGAAGCTAAACAGCTGCCCTTCTAATGTGTCCATAAATTAAACCACTCTCCATTTCTCCAATCTCCACCTCCCTTTACCACCAGGACTAGCATTAACAATGTTGTCCTTGGTCCTGGGATGTTTGTTTTTCCTAGTGGAATGGGTTACATTCCCTTGGTTGTCCTTATCTCTGAAGTCTCCCTAAATTCTTCTGAGGTCCCCTCCTGCACTGTCCCTAAAACTACCTAATTTCTAGCTTGCCCTGTGTCTCAGTGGTTCTGGAAGGAGGCGAGGGTGGGGCATCTGGACAGGCTGTTCCTCTTGTAGGGGTGAGCTGTTTGTTGGGAGGAGGAGTTTAACCTTGAGGCGCTCCCCCTCGGTTAGAAGAAACAAATTTGAGTAGGAGATTGTGTATGTTACTATTTGAAGAGGAGAATGAGAAGTACAGCAGAGGCTAAGGGCCCTCGGTCACAGGTGAAGTTGTAACGGGGTCTCCAGGAAAGGGGAGGTTCCCTGCCCCACCCAAGGGAGGGTGGAGCTGAGCAGGGAGAGAAGAAGCTGCAGAGGAGACTGAGAAGGAAGGAAGCAGGATGGCAGAACCTGTTTAGAGCAGGCAGGGTTGTCTGGCTGTTTCTGATCCTTTTCTGTGGGTCCCCACTGGAAGGTGCTTTGGACTTGGGGCAGGCTTGGGGCCTTGCTCTGGGCCAATGCCATTTGGATGGACTTTTACCCCCGAGGGGATGGGTGACTTTGGGTGGTTGATTTAGAAGCTATATTTTGTGCCTTTCCTGTATTGTTTCCTAGTTGTATGAAAGTTCCTTCCCATTAAAGTCTCACATGTTTTGTGTTGACGCGGCGGATGGCAGAACCTATTTAGAGCAGGCAGGGTTGCAGGGTCTGGGCTGCCCCTCTCCCTGCCCTGGAGCAAAGTCATTGGGGCCAGCCGCTGAGTGTAGGCTTAGTCACAAGCCGAGCAGTAGTAGAATAGCAAGTGTTGGGGTTGGGACATGAGAGCACATTGCACCAGGGACGCAGCCCATTTTTCGAGTGCCCTTAGACTGAAAGAATGTCGGTGGGATATTTGTTCCTCGCAGAGGAGCTGTTGTAAATCCGCTGTGTCCCTAGTTAGGGCAACACCCACCCAGGGAGCCCTGAAATGCTGGAGTAAGGCACAAAGCCAGGGACTCAGCAGGAGGGTTGGCTTGCTGTGTGTGCAGAGTCGCAAGGCCAGTGAAAACTACTAGTTTCTTAGTTTAGTTAGGGACAGTGTTGTGCGCCTGATCACTGGGAGGCTCGTCAGAGTCTCAGGAAAGTTGGGTGAGCTTTGAAGTCAAGTTAGAGTGAGGACCGCAGTCCACCTTTTTATTTATTTATTTATTTAAGGTTTATTTCTTATAATACAAGAATTGGGGTACAGGCCAGATGCTTGGGAGGGTGAGAGGATTCACCGGAGACAGGGTGGGGAACAGAACAGGCAGGCTGACTGAAATACACGGCTGAGAGGAGCGTCAGGGAGGCAGGAGAGGTCTGCTGTGAACATGGGTATCTCTATGTCCAGGGATCCAACCTGCCCTGCAGTGGCCGAGGACAGCCCCATGGCCTGCATCCCAACCCCTTGCCCCACTAAGGAGGCGCCATAAAATTAATTTTTTTAATATTTATTTATTTATTTATGTATATAAGAGCTGGGGTATAGGCCAGAGATGCGGGGGGTGAGAGGATCCACCGGAGAGTGGGAAACAGAACAGCAGACTGACTGAAATACACTGCTGAAGGGAGCAGCGGTCGAGACAGGAGAGGTCTGCTGCGCCATGTGAGTCAGTTCCCTGGCCAGGGGGCAAACTTGTCCTTCAATGGTTGTCATAGATTCATAGTGCTGAGACTGAACCCCTTGTGCCACCATGGGGCCCCCTCACAGCTCTCTTTTCACCTTGTGTCCTATTTAGAGGTCTGCTGGTGGCCATGTACTAACTGTATATTTTGATTTCGGGAACCCTTGACCTGCAGAGATGTGCCCATCGAATTCTCACACAAGGAGCAGGAGGGCCTGGACCAGCTGCAGTGGAATTTGTACAGGGACGTGATGCTAGAGACCTACAGAAATGTGGTGTCCTTGGGTGAGGAGAATATCCCTCTTGATTTTGTCATCTGCCCTCAGTGTTTCCTGTACCGCGTGTGGATGTGCTCCAGGGATGACTAGAATTGTCGGATACATTTAGGTCCCTATTTTATTTTATTTTATTTTTTTTTTTTTAAGATTTATTTATTTATTTATTTATTTATACAAGCACTGGGTACAGTCAGAAGCGCGGGAGGGTGAGAGAATTCACCAGAGCCAGAGCTGGGAGCAGAGCAGGCAGAAGGACCGAAGTACACTGCTGAGGGGAGCAGCGGGCCGCAGGAGAGGTCTGCGCGCCATGTGGGACCCTCCTCCGGTGGCCGGGGAGCAGCCGGGGATCGAACTGGCACTGCAGAGGCTGCGGGCAGCTTCGCAACCCAGCGCTCAACCGCTGCGCCACCGAGGAGGCCCTAGGTCCCTATTTTAAAGAACAACAGTGTGGGTTGGTTGGAAAGAAAGTCTCATGATGTTTCATCATGGCTTAAATTTCTCCTGTCTTAGGATGATCTGTAGCCTGCTCTCTGTATGAGTGCTCATTCAAGAAAATATGTGACTAGGGCCTCCCCGGTGGCGCAGCGGTTGAGCGCTGGGGTGCGAAGTTGCCCGCAGCCTCTGCGGGGCCTGTTCGATCCCCGGCTGCTCCCCGGCCACCGGGGGAGGGTCCCACATGGTGCGCAGACCTCTCCTGCCGCCCGCTGCTCCCTCAGCAGTGTACTTGGGTCCTTCTGCCTGCTCTGCTCCCCGCTCTGGCTCTGGTGAATTCTCTTACCCTCCCGCACTTCTGACTGTACCCAGTGCATGTATAAACAAAAACAAAACAAAACAAACAAACAAATAAATAAATAAATAGCATGCCTCTGGAAAAAAAAAAAAAAAAAAGAAAATATGTGACTTAAGCGTTATTGCTACAAGCAAAATCCCAGCTTCTCTATCACATTGCTAGGACTCAGAGGTCTAGAAATTATTCTTAGGATATGAAAATTTCAATGATTTCTGGTTAAGCTGCTGTCAGAAAATGTATTCGCAGTGATCCTTTTCCAGAACCTTCTATACTGTCCCCTCTACTGAACACAATACTGTATTAGGAATTTGAGAATCTTCAGGCCATCTCATATCACCTTTTCTAATAAACAGGTCTTCTGTGTTTACGCCCGAGCTGGTCATCTTGTTGGAGCAAAAAAATGGAGCCATGGGATGTGAAGAGAAGTGCAGATCCCGTCCTCCTCCCAGGTAGGTGGAAAGAATCCTGCAGAGGACACAGCTGGTCCTCAGGAAAGCATCCTAAATGTCTGGGAAGCTCAGTTTCAGGGGTTGCAGACATGCTCCTATTTTGTCTTGGAGTCTTAGTCTTGCTCTCCGTGGGGGTGTCTCCTCTCTGACACTTGAGGCCTCTGCCTTTCCTTCTTACTGAATTGAACTTAGGTTTTGTCCATTTTGTTGATCTTTCAAAATCCAGACTTCCTTTCATAGAGAAGCAACTGCTTTTTGGCCATAATGTGCTATTTATGTATTTCTTATTTTTTTCAACGTCCTCCTTTCTGCCAATACGGAGCTAAAATTGTTCTTTTTCTAATTCCTAGAGGTGTGAAGTTATGTTGCTCAACTGAGATCTCTCTTACTGCTAGTGTAATTCTTTAATGCTTTAAATTTACCTCTTAGGATTGTTTTCTGAATCACATGTTTTGGGGAGTTTGCTTTGTTGCAATGTTTTCTCAGTATTGCTTACTTTTTTGGAATCAAGGAACCATGGGTGTACCTCATTCTTCGTGATTCAGGGAATAGATTCTCATATCCTCACATGTCTGTCACTACCATACCCACTACCAGTGCATAGTGGGCTTCCCTATAAGTCTTTGAATCCCCTGCCACTTTTGTACCCACACCCACTGTCCTTCCCTCTTCGTACCCTCATTCTGCAGTCCTATTTCTAGACTTTATTTTGGTTTGTATTGTCAGTTTCTGTGCCTTGTTTTTCCAAAGTCCAAATAGGAGAGAATTCATCCAGTAAGTCTTTCTCCTTCTGATTCTTTTCACTGAGCATAATCCTCCCCCAGCATTCCATTGTTGTTGTTGCACATGGCCAGATGTATCCTTTTTCATAGCTCAGTAGCATTTCATCCTGTCTATATACCACACCTTTCATTTCGAATTCTTTTTCACCCGTTTGTCAACTCTGATTCCTGAATTTATAACATTATTTTCCTTCTAATTGCAATTGGGCCTTGAACTTCTCCTTGATTTTATTGTTTTCATCTTCTGCGTTGAGTTCTGTCTTTGTTTGCGGCACACTTTCAGGACCTCATCTTAGTGTATAGGTAATATTACAGTGACTTCTCAATACAGGTATTTTTCTGTTATTTTCTGGGGTCATTCTTTTCTTTCTGTGATGCTTTAGACTCAGATCATATCATTAGAGTGATCCACACGGCTCCATTTTCATGATTAGTCTTTACGGAATGTAGTTCCATCCTTACATTCCACATGGTGGGCTAAAGGCTGTGTTGAGTGTCATATAGGTAAGATTGAATTGGTGTTATTTTTAATTCATTCAGACACATTTGTCATTGTGTTGTGGACTTTTGTTTACACCAAAGTATTACTGAAAGGGAGGCATTAACTTTATTAAAGAATGATTCCTCTATTCTCAGTCATTTTATTTTTTAAAATTTTTTAAAGATATATTTATTATTTTTTCAAGCACCAGTTACAGTCAGAAGCACGGGAGGGTGAGAATTCACCAGAACAAGAGCGGAGAACAGAACAAGCAGACTGACAAAGAACACTGCTGAGGGGAGCAGCGGGCGCCATGAGAGGTCTGCGCACCATGTGGGACCCTCGCTGGCGACTGGAGATCTAACCGGTGCTGCAGAGGCTGCGGGCAGCTTTGCGACCCAGCGCTCAACTGCTGCGCCACTGCAGATGCAGTATTCTCAGCCATTTTATACCCCATTTCCAACCTACTGCATCACTGTATATTTTTTGACCTTTTCTTATATGCTTTAATTCCTCTCTCTTTTCTTGTTGGTGATTTCCCTCCACTTTCACACATTTTGATGTTAATGGAGGTATATTGGTTTGTAATGTTATTTACAAACATTGTAAAGCATTGTCATCCAACCTTTGTACACATCACATCAGTCTCTGTTTTCATTTGTTTTCCATGTATTTTACGGTATCTTTTTCTCATGGGGATTCCATAGCATGTTGAAAAGTTATGACAGTCTTTTCTAAAGTGAAAACCATGTACATTCAGCTGCATACCAAAACTCCACTCTTTAACATTTCTACCCCTACTGACATCACAAATTATATCTCATGATATTTGTATTCTATAACATGAATCTATGATTTTTTTTTTGGTGCCATATTTCCAAATTCTGAAGCAGAAACAATATTTTGACTATAGGGTTATATCTGTATTTGCTATGTATTTACCTTTCCCTAAGGACGTTACCTTGCATAAGCCTGTGTGTTGCTGTCTAGTGCTGATGTTATCTATACAAAGATGATGTCGGGGGTCTTTATATGGTATTAATTTTATGTCTTAAATATTGAAAGTATTTTGTCTTGAGTGCTGTTTGTGGGCTAGTTATTCCTCGTTGTCTTCCTGCCCTGTCTTCTCAAGACAACCAGGTCTCCATGCCACAGTCAGGCACAGAAGATTTGTTGCTAACTGTGGGACTGGGAAGAGATGGAATCGGCACCTTTGAGAATTTACAATTATTGATAGACCAGACATGTCAAGAGGCATGAGAAGGGCATAAGAGTTGTTGCAATGAAGATTCCATATCCATAACTCAATTCCTCCTGTACAAAGTGATCCTGTGTGTAAACCATGTTGGGTCAAACTCCATTTTATGTCTGTTGCAGGTAGAGATAAATATGTTTCTGTTAGCAAAGATCCATGTGACATTTTTCACGAGACACAATCTCTGAGAAGAATGTGGGAACATATGGGAAGTCCCCTAGTCCATAATGCAAATGATTATTCAAAACATTGTCAATGTGGGATAGATTTAAACTTTCAGTGATGTCATTGTCAACATCAGATAATTAGAAAGGAAGATGAAAAAAATCTATACAGGATCCTATTGAGGAGTCCTCAATACTTTTCTAGCATCATGTACTTCATGAGAAACTCTACAATTGTAAAGGATATGGCAAAGCTACCAAATGGTGCCCAAGACTTACTGAACATCAGAGAGGGAAACCTCACAAGTGAAGAGCATGGTAAAGCCTTGTATTGGCATCCACAGCTGACTAACCATCTCAGGATTCATGCTGGAGAAAAGCCTATACGCGTTGACTGTAGTAACACCTTCCTGTGCTGTGTCACCTTTCCTGACATTGGAGAGTTCATACTGGGGAGAAACCTTACAGATGTGAGGAATGTGGGAAAGTCTTTAACCAACTGTCAGCCTTTAACTGTCTTAGTCAGCATCACAGAATTCATACTGAGGAGAAACGTTACAATTGTGAAGATTGTGGCAAAGCCTTTAACAATAAGTCATGTCTTACTCAGCATCATAGAATTCATACTGGGGAGAAACCTTCAAGATGTGAAGAATGTAGGCAAAGCCTTCTACCATCCATCACTTTTAAGTCAACATCACAGAATTCATACTGGGGAGAAACTTTGCAAATGTGAAGAATGTGGCAAAGCCTTTCACCGCAAGTCAAGTGTTAATCTACATTAGAGAATTCACATCAGAGAGAAAGGTTAAAACTGTGAAGTCAATTTTTTTACTTTAGTCTCTTTTTTTCAAGATTTATTTTATTATGCATGCATGGGGTATCTTCCAGAGGTGGGGGTGTGTGAGAGGATTCATCAGAGGCAGAGTGGGGAACAGAACTGGCGGATTGACTGAAATACACTGCTGAGGGGAGCAACAGGCGAGACAGGAGGGGTCTGCTGCACCATGTGGGTAGCTCCCTCACCGGGAATCCAGCTCGTACTGCAGTGGCTGCATATAGCTTCATAGGTTGTGTCTTAACCCCTTGTGCCACCAGTGAGGTCCCAACTTTGGTGTCTTTAACCAGAAGTCCAGAAGTTTAACCAGAAGTGTCAAAGTGATTAACCAGAAGTCAGATTATCATAAACATCAGAGAGTGCAAAGCAAGAGAAACTGTAAATGGAAAGTGATGAGTGGTTTGTCCAAATATGAATTTTGAAACCACCAGATTTTCATACTGGAAACTTGAAAGAAGTGAAAATATGATTAAATGATTTATCATGCAATTTAGATGCATATTAAGATATTGCAAGACAGTAGGAAGTGAGAAACACTTTACATTCCTTAAGTCAGAATATTGTTATGGAGCATAAGCCAACATTAATGCACTAAATATTAGCATAATTGAAAAGTCCGAGGCCTTCCTGGTGGTGCAGAGGGTTAAGTCACAGCTCTTTGAATCTCAGCAGCCACTGCAGCATGATTTGGTCCCTGGCCAGGGAGCTGACCACATGGAACAGCAGACCTCTCTTGACTTACCTGCTGCTCCCCTCAGCATTGTGTTTCAGTCAATCTGCTTGTTCTACTCTGCACTCTGTCTTTGGGGAATCCTCTCACCCCCTACACTTCTGGCCTACCCCTTGGTTCTTGTATGCATAAATAAATAAAATCAATCTTTAAAAAAATATATAAGAGTTCAAGACGATGGTTTGGGGACCTGTATAGTTATTTTCTTTGTCCTTTTTTTTTATCAACCATACTTGGGATATTGTGAAGAGACCTGATGAATATAATTCAGCCCTAAATCACTCCACTCTATGGCTTTCTCCTGGTATGTACGTGGAGTCATGTATTTGACTTTCGTGGGTCAAACATCGAAGGGATCCTGTCCAGTTGATGAGTTTCTTTACATCTTAATTGCTTGGGTACATTTATGATGGTGTCCTGTATCTTGAATGAAGAAAATCTAAATGGATCCAGAGGAGTCGTGGACTTCCTTGTGGGCATAAAAGTTAGACAGAGAAACATGCTGAAGTTCAACTCATTTCATCATTTTCTCCTTCAGGGAATATACTAACAGTTTATTAATATCCTCATGTGTCTTCATGGTAGTTATGGAGCCATGAATATTACTGGACGTTGTTGCCAAAAGAAATCTTCACAAGCGTGTGATGAAGGAGCAGGTGAGCTTTTCATAACAGCGTGGAATTCTTGTGCATTCACATTAGCTAAGCACAGCATCTTTCTGTTGAACACCGACGCTGTGATCCAGATATCAGAAGGTCAAGATGCTTCTTAAATACCTGAGTCTTGATTTTGATGAAATGTGTCTTGGTATCTGACTGTCTTATTTAGACTATATGTGAACTTCTTATGTATATTTTTTAAATTAATTCATACAAGAGCTGGAGTGCAGGCCAAAGGGGGGTGTGTGTGTGAGAGAGAGAGAGAGATGGGGCTGATTCACCAGAGACAGAGTGGGGCGCAGAACAGGCAGACAGAGAGGAATACACTGCTGAGGGGAGCAGCAGGCAGGACAGGAGAGGTCAGCCCTGCCCTGTGGGTCGCTCCCTGCTGTGGAGGGGCGGATACCTTCTGAGTCAGCGCGGTGCTTAACCCCTTCAGCCCCCGGGCGGCCCTGTTGAGCTCTCTTCCCTCAGAGCCCTGAACCCATTATGGGCCCCGCAGTTTTCACGGGCCTCGCCCACCGGCCGGTTCTCCTCAGCCTCCACTCCTCCCACTTCCAGGCCGCAACCCCGCCCCAACCACGGCCCCACGGCCTGCGCAGGGCATTGTGGGAAATGTAGTCTGAGCCCCCGTGGTTCCCGCGGAGGTTTCTGGGCGGGGCTTCCGCGATCTGCGCGTCCGGAAGTTTCGGCGCGTCCGGAGCGCTGCGGCGCCCTGAGGTGAGCGCGGGGTTTGTCCCGGAAGGCCGGGCTCGGGGGAGCGGAGGCGCCGGGCGGGTTGGGGAGCGGGGGGCGCGGGCGAGCTCGGCCCCGGCCCGTGGAGTCGGGCGCTTTGGAGCCGATTCCCGCCGGGGCGCGCGGGGGGCGGGGGCGGAGGCCGCTGGGGAGAACGTCCCGGCCTTTCCGGGGTTTCCCCGGCGCGGCCGCCCGGCCCTGTTCCCGGACGCTACCGGGGTCCTCCCCGGGCGAGGGACGGGGGGTCCCCGAGGCGGTGGCTTGGGTAGCGCGGGTCCGCCGGTGCGCATGCGCGCTGACTCCTCTGGACCCGCCCCCCCCGAAAGTCGGGCAGTGAGGGAGGGGAGCCCGGCGGCGTTTCTCTGGGGTGGGGGGGGCCTGGGCGAGATTCTCTGCACCTGGGCGAGATTCGCGCACCCGAGGTGGGGCGGGAGAGGCCGGGTTGCCAGGGGAGGCGGCCCCATATCGGGAAACTGGGTTTGCAGGGCGTGGGTGTGGGGGGAGTTCCTGGGGCGTTAGGGGCTTGTGGACTGAATTTCCGGGCGCTCTGCGGGTCCCCCGCCCAGGCGGCGTCCTGCTGGCCGCTGAATTCCTGCCTCCCGCCTGCAGGTGCGCATCCAGGGGTTGTGGGAAATGTAGTCTCGAGCCCCGTGGTTCCCGCGGAGGTTTCTGGGCGTGGCTTCCGCGATCTGCGCAGGCGCGGCCGCGCCCCCGCCCGTCCGGAAGTTCCCGCGTCTCCGGAGCGCTGCGGCCCCCGGAGGTGAGCGCGTGTTGTGTCCCGGGAGGCCGGGCTCGGGTGAGCAGAGACGCCGGGCGGGTTGGGGGGCGAGGGCTAGCGGGGCCCCGGCCCGGTGGAGTCTGTCGCTTTGGAGCCGATTCCCGCCAGAGCGGGCGGGGGCGGGGGCGGAGGCCTTTGGGGAGAACTTTCCGAACTTTCCGGGGTGTCCCCGGCGCGGCCTCCCGGCCCTGTCCCCGGACGCTGCCGGGGTCTTCCCGGGTTGCGCGACGGGGTCCCTGAAGCGGGGCTCTGGGGAAACGCAGGTCTGCCTTTGCGCATGTGCGCTGACTCCTCTGGGCCACCCCAAAAGTCGGACGGTGAAGGAGGGGAGAGCCAGGCTGCGTTTCTGGGGGGCGCGGAAATGCACCTGGGCGAGATTCGCGCACCCGAGGTGGGGCGGGAGAGGTCCCATGCGCGTTGCCAGGGGGAGGCGGGCCCTGTTAGGGCGGGGAGGTGGGCTGGAAACTGGGTTTGCAGGGCGGGGGTGGGGGGGAGTTCCTGGGGCGTTAGGGGCTTGTGGACTGAATTTCCGGGCACGCTGCGCTTTCCCCCCCCCAGGCGGCGTCCTGCTGGCCGCTGCATTCCCGCCTCCACGTGCGCACCCAGGGGACGCGGCGCTGTCGGGTGTCCACGGAGCAGAGGGCGGGAAGGGCGCGGAGCCTCGGCCGGGTGTCCTGGCAGAACAGTGCGTTCGGGCGTCGTCTCGCTGGAAGTGGAGTCCACACTCTGCAGCGACTCCTCAGCTCTGAGACGGTTGCTCCTGCGTGACCGTGGCGCAGGCAGTGGGCAGTGTCACCTTTTACTAAGTTGTGGTGAACCGTCCGCCCAGGCTCTGCCGCGCGTGGACTCGGGGCCGTTCCTGCCCTGCTAGAAGTGCCACCCGCTGCCACACGCGGTGACTCTCTGGTGTCTCCAGGCAGCGTGTGGCGGGCTCTGGCCAGGAGACTCCCGGACCCGGGCAGCCGCCTCCGTCCTCTGTGCTGGACCCCAGCGCCCCCCAGCGCCGCTCCCGAGCCCTGGCGCGTCTGTGAGAGCAGCGACCATGGACGAATCTCTGGTGAGTGGCGTGTTGGCTTCAGCTCGCGGTGCCTTGACTTTATGCGAGTTCATCACGGACATGCACATTAGAAACATAGTTTTCTGCAGGGACACATTCCTCACCAGGGAAAGGTGTGGCGTAGGTCCAGGCCCTTCCCATGTCCAGCGTGCGTGGAGATGGGGCTCTGCCCTAGTGCTCCCGCAGCGCAGAGTCTGTACCTGGGTCCCCATTGATGATGCTGAAGGTGTGGCCTGTGGCTCTTCACCCCGCTGGACAGAAACACTTCCCAGCTCTGCGCTGGTCAGGTGTGGGGTGAGGGAGGAGGAGGATGGGGCCTGAGGATGCGTGTGCAGATGGGGGTGAAGGAGACACGAGTCATTTAAAAAGGACAATTGAATTTTTTTTTTAATAATAATTTTATTTTTGTATTCCCCATACAATTGCAACCCCCAATTCTGACCCCAATCCCTCCCCTCCCGCCCCCCACCCCCCAAAAAGTGTCTCTGGTTCATAGTTTTTTTTTGATTTTCATTTTCAATTTCTTATAGTTATTCATTTTCCTGGTCCCTTATTTAAGTTTTCTAGATTCCTGCTATGAGTGAGACCATCCGGTATTTTTCTTTTTCTTTTTGGCTTATTTCGCTGAGCATGATCCCTTCCAGCGCCATCCATAAGGACAACTGAATTTTTAAGGCTTCTGTGCAGTTGCTGAAATCCTATCCTGTGTCCCAGGCCACTCTCGGAGACTTTCATGCAGGCGTCAGTCTTGGCACCTGTGACGTTGAGTCCACTGGGGCGTCCTCACATCCCTGCCCCTGCTCTTCTCTTGGGGGGTCTGCAAACCCCAGGCATCTAGCAAGCTCTTCAGAGTCCTTTTTTCTGGCGGTTGTTTGCACTGCTCCTGCGCATTTCTCCTTGGTGTGGTCTGCGTGCATTTCTAGTGACGCTTCCCAGCACCCTAAGTTGTTCCCCAGTCCAGTGACACTCTCCAGCCTTTGCCTTCCCCAAAGTTCCTGCCATGTTTGAGAACACAGTGTGTGACCTTGGGGAAATTCCATTTTTTATAATTGTTTTAAAGCTTCTTATACTTTTTTCTCTTTGTTTTACTTATTTTCCCTCCTTGATCTGTCATTGACATGTGGAGCACTAAAGCCTTCTGCTCAAATAGTTGCCAGTTTTTTCCTAACCTCCTAGCTGGTCTTGCCCTACCCCTTGTTTCCCCTCTACCTAACCACCCTGGCCCATCCCCATCTGCCTCCCTCCCTAACTTCTCCACCCTTTCCCCTGTTCCCTCTGGTGGTCATCTTTACCTTCACATGACCTTGTTCAAGTTGATTCAAGTATTTTGGCTGTAAATGTTTTTTTGGTATTTATTTTCCACAGATGAGTGAAGCCATCTGGTATATGTCTTTGCTTTTTGGCTTATTTCACTGAAGAATAGCACCTTCTGGTGCCTCCCTGGTGGTTCAAGGGGTTGAGATGCAACCGATGGGGCTGTCTGCAGTCTCTGCAGCACAGGTTCCATCCACTGGGCACTCAGGGAGCACCCCACATGGCGCAGCAGACCTGACTGGCCTGCTGCGTCCCTCGGCAGTTTATTTCGGTCAGTCTGCCTGTTCTGTTCCCTGCTCTGTCTCTGGTGAATCCTCTCACCCCCCTCCCCTGCACCTCTGGCCTGTACCCCAGCTCCTATATGCATGAATAAATAAATTATATTTTTAATTTTTTTAAAATTTTTATATTTTTATGCAATTTGTTTTTACACAGTCATGTTTTATTTATTTGTTTGTTTGTTTGTTTATACAAGCACTGGGTACAGTCAGAAGCGCAGGCAGGTGAGAGAATTCAACAGAGCCAGAGCAGGGAGCAGAGCAGGCAGAAGGACCGAAGTACATTGCTCAGGGGAGCAGCTGGCGTCAGGAGAGGTCTGCGCACCATGTGGGACCCTCCTCCGGTGGCCGGGGAGCAGGCGGGGATCGAACCAGTGCCGCCTAGGCCGCGGCAGCTTCGCAACCCAGCGCTTAACCGCTGTGCCACTGGGGAGGCCCTAAATAAATCTTTTTACAAAAAAACAGACTCTTGGGCCTCCCAGGTGGCATAGACGTTGAGCGCTAGGTTGCGAAGCTCCCCGCATCCTCTGCAGCACCGGTTCGATCCCCAGCTGCACCCCGGCCACCGGAGAAGGGTCACACATGGCGCACAGACCTCTCCTGCCGCCCCATGCTTCCCTCAGCAGAGCACTTCGGTCCTTCTGCCTGCTCTGCTCCCTGCTCACTGCAACCTGCATGGGGCTCTACTCACTTCTGTCAACACCCTCCTGTTGAGCAGGAAGCCACACTCACATTCCTCCAGAAGGTTAGTGAGAGATCTGCAAGCACAAGTTGATTTTTCTTTCCCTTCCGAAACAGAAATATCGCTCAACTCCTTGAAAAATTGACTTCCTAAGTTGACTTTGATTGTAGGTGAGGCAGCAAGCCCCAGACCTAGGATTTTCATATTGTCCTTGGCCAGTTATTACCAATGACTGTCAAATGTGTTCTCGGTGTCTGGGTGTATCCCATGGGCAAATGCCTTTTCTCAGGGTGTGGAGCTTTTACAGTTCATTTGTGACTTCGATTTTAGCTGTGTGTTGAATTCATACCATTCTCCGCTCTTAACTATGTTGCCTCATAGCAGAAGCTGTTGAATGTGGTCTGGGCTCATACATTAGGTGTCTGATGTGATTGTCTTTATTCTGGTGGGTTGGGCCGGGAAGGGGTGGCTTCAGCCGTGGCCAGTGATATCCTGGGGAGAAAGTGAATCCATTGGTCCTGGATTCTGTCCAGCATATTCAGTTCCTTTATTTCACATCCTAGGGAGGTGATATGATGGTCAAGGTTACAGTATTTCTTAGTGGTACCACTTGTCACCCAGATTTCTAAGTCACACTGTGCTCATACCAGGATTTGGGGGCTCTCTGATAGGAAGAGGGAGGCTCAGAGGTGAAGTGACTTGTCTGAGGTCCTGGCTGGTTGCTGTATGAGTTGCAGCTAGAACTCAGACCTGCTATGGACTGTATTCCCTGAGCTGTTGTAGCTGACTGCATGTTTTTGGAAACTCAATTATGGCTGGGCTGTACCAAAAAAACTAGCTGTTTAAACTTTCCCATTGTGATTGTAAGGTGAACAGATCTCTCTGATTTGTCTTATAGTAGGTGAGAACAGGGACACCAATTGAGATGTTTACTTTTTGGATTTCCTGAGGCCAGCTCTCCTTAGGTTGCCCCCACCCCAATCCTAGATCCAGACCTAGGGCTCCACTGCCTGAGGACTCTGCTCCACCCACTGCCTCCGTTTTTCTACTGCAGAGGCTGTGGAAGTGGGAGCTCATTAAACAAAAAAGAGCAACAGTTCACCCTGCATTTCAGTTCCCTTTTGGAGCCAGGGTGGAGGGCAGAGAAAGAAAGGTGTGCTGCTCCACAATGTGGCTGCAGACTGCAGCCATTGGGCCAGCCTCCCCCTGGGCAGGAAAGTGGACAGACAGGGAGTGCTCCCAATTTCAGGGGTGGCCCTACTGAGTGGCTTCCAGCACTTGTTACAAGAACAGTGAAGACCTCCTGGGCAGCTGCAACAGGCGATAGGCTCGGTGGTCTCACTGGATCTTGAGCTGAAGCCAGGACTGTACTGAGTGACCCCAGTCAGTGAGCAGTGCAAAGCATTGGCCTCCGAACCTTCCTCTTCCCCACATCCCAGTCTCTCTGTGCTGGAGTCCTGGACAGGGCACCGGAGCATCTGGCTCAGTCAGGCTACTAAAGTGTTGCACTACTGAACACTCTTGAATCTGCTGCACCCTTTCTGTTTACACAGCGAGCAGAGTAATAGCAAGACTGTGCTATAGGTGATGGCTCTGCACTTAGCTAGGCTGTCAGGCAGGCCGGGCTCTGCCCCCACGGTGGCCTGCTGCCATTGCGTTTCCCTTCCTGTACGGGTCTCTGCTGTCCCTGAAGCATCAGCAGGACAACTTGGCAACCAGACATATGTAGAATTCGGCCCTGTGTCTAGCCCAGGGGAGGAAGAAGTTTCTAGCAGTTAGGGCTTTCTGTTTGCTTCCTGGTGCTTTCACAGAAGTCCTTCATTTTTTTTAAATCAAAATTGCATTTGTTCAGTTGTCATTGTTGAGGATGTATTTATTGTGTTTTACAGACGTGAGTATATATATGTATGTACTTATATATATGTATGGATGTATGTCGCAAACCAGACGTATATGACAAGGTCAAGGAATGTATACTAGATATTTTGAAGTTATTTATCAAGGGGAAAGATGTCTGTTATAAAGTAAACAGAGTCTATATTTTGTATATAATGTGGATAGCAAGAATAGCATCCACATTATACACAAGTTTCCTTTTATCTTTTATTATTAAAGCAAAAAAAAAAAAGAGGACTGCAAATGCAGCTGTTCCCAGGGTTGTGAAGGCCAGGACACCGTCATGGGAGGGACTCCCCGGCCCTGGGGTGCGCTCTGTGTTCAGGCCCAGCCCCACACTCCCCACCGGCTGGCTCTGCCTCCCCGGGGCTTCCTGCTGTCCCCGACAGTCTACATCCCTGGGGTGAAGGGTGAGAGTAGCCAATAAAGATTGACCAACAGAAGTGATTCTGGCTCTTCTCCTGCTGGGTCGCCTCGGGGCTCTCCTTCGGGAGCACGCGCCTCGTGGGTTGTGGACTCTGAGGCAGAGATGGGAGGGGGTCGGTGGTGGTATTTAGCGTGTGCGTGGGGTTGATCGGGGGGGAAAAGGATGTCCTAAAGCTAATTTGATACAGGCTTTGTGGACTCCACCCCCACCCCAGGCCAAAGCCAAAAGACACTGGGAACTTCACATCCCATCACCACCAAAGGGAAGGTGGCTGGGACCTGAGGGTGGGGTTCAGCAGCCAGGTTGGGATACAGCCAGACACGTGGGCTTTGGAGGGGTCCCCCATTTTGGCTCTAGGCCAGCTCGCAGCATCCTGCCTTTGGGTTTCCAGGTGGGCGGATCG